GCTTATCCGGATGATGAGCAACTGTATTCAAATTATGCAGATACGCAAAGTCTAGAGACGAGCCAAAGTTGTTACCTTGCTTAAACCTGGCAAAAAACTCCAACGACCACAAAAACTATTGGCCAATATCTTTGTTTTGTCAGCTATTTAAAATACTTTTGCACAAGAGACGATGATATGGTTTCACCGATATTAGAAAAAAAACTCAAATTATAAGACGAAAGTGGCTATAGATAGGGAAGATCGCGTACTTTACAAATACTAAATCTTACTCAAGACAGCAAAGACGGGTACGAAAAATATCGGGTATCAGGGGTGGTATTTTTCAATATAAATTCCGCTTACCACACCTTAAATTACAGGATATTTCTCGAAAAACTATATGATATCCCCGTAGATAACAAACGATAAAATTATCTGTGTATGCCTACACAATAGAATATTTTTCGCATCACTCGGTGGTAAGAATAGCAGATGAAGAACGGTCTCGCCTGGGATAGAATAAAGACACTTACATTGTATAAACAAACGATTAACCCATACCTATAGATACTAGGACTTCTAATATACAGACGATACACCTATTATTGCCCAATAAAAATAAACTATGAATCAATTTTCAGCCAAAACGCCTGAAAAACTCATATGTGCTCCTTCAATTTCCCTAACACAAACGCTTTCACAAAACTAAACCTCCAATAATGTCATGAAATCGTTTAAACTGTAGACTATCTATAAATTCCTTGAAAGTAGCTTGTATTGCACGTGATTATTCACAGATCATTGTTTAAAACTAAAAGGTAAATTGAGGTCAGAAATAATATTTGTCAGCTAAAAATGAGGCGAACGTCCTTTCGCCCTACAAATTAACCATTATTTCTTTTTGTGTACACTACTACACATTTTAACACAAAAATATCTATTATATATATCTATATCACTTAACCATATTTATTTTGAGATAACCTTCTATCAAGATATCATATTATGTAGTACAAATAAGACCAAAACTAAAATAATAAAAAAACTTTATACAAGATATCGCAGAACATTGGATGAAATAAAAACAGTTTTTATTATTGGGATGCTTCTATAAAACGTACAAAGGCAAAGTCACGTAAAAAAAATATAAATAGTACGAAACTTCTACAATTAAAAAAACGTAGACTTCAACATTGAACTAATAAAACTATATTAAGTAAAAAAATAACATTTTTAAAAATGCAGAGAAAATAAAATTTTCTATGCAAGTGACCATTCCATTAAATAATAAGCCCAAGTCCTTTTGTATCTATATACCTGTTTTTTAAATAACCTGTACCTTTAACCTATTAGCACGTAGTAATACCCGGTAATAAGATATCCTTGATTATATAGTGTAATGCGTATGGCATTACACTTCCTACAAAAAGTAGATAAAAATAAGGAGCTCATATAAACCGTTCAGGGTAAACTTTGAAAATCTACGCTATAATCGCACGGTTGCCAAACTCTCAGAGCTTACTTAAACCGATAAACTAATTATTCAAATATACAGTGAAAAAGACCTGAACGACCCCTATAATATATACACGTGAACTACACGATATACATTTATCATACAGGGGTATTTATGGGGCTCCAAAATTTTTTTAAAAATTATGAACCGCTGTATGTTAACGAATCGACAGAACCAATATTAGGGAATGGTCAAGTGAGCTCCGTATATCGGTGTCCACTTGACCACGGAGCTCACTTAAACCTGAATTTTAACATGGGCGGACTCCACTTTATGCCGTAAATATATATATATATATATATATATATATATATATAATATATATATATATATATATATATACTTGAGAAAAGACTCCATTTCCCTGCTGATTGTGTTTCCTGGGGTTCTTTCTTTCCATGTCCATGAGGTTCTAACGTGAAAATGGACCGCAGGAGTGTGACGTCACGACTGTCACATTGACATTATTACTTTCCAAACAAAAGTTGAAATGTCAAATCTCAAGACTTTTTAATTTCTATAAAGTTAACATTTTGCTTGCTCTGCTGCTTTTTCTTGTAAGCATAGTGTTTTTACGATAATACCATCATAATTCAGAGTTCTATTTCTATGAAATATAGTTTAAAAGTTTAAATAAAGAAATTGTAACCTTACTTTATTGATACATGCATTTTATTACTATTAGCATAAAACAATGTGCTTTATTATTTACAAAACCTTGTAAAATTGTTGTAGTAACTATTAGAATACTAAAATATTGCAATAAGCGGAAAGATTCTATAAAGTAAATGAAAAAAATAACGAAAAAATACAAATTATCCACACTAAACCAGGTTTGTTTGGAAAGTGAAACTGACGTATGTCAGTAAAATCTACGTCATCACTCCTGTGGTCCATTATAACCTCGTTGCATATGACACCCGGATATTGACAGAGTCAGAAATATGTCATCAAAAAAGAAGAATAATTCTTCTTTTCTACCTTTAACATGAATTTGCAGTTTTTTGTGTAGGTTGTAATTTTTTAGATTTTGTTGTGTTTGTATTTTAAATAATACCCTGTTGTGTTGTAATGTTTTTATTCAAAATTTTAAATGTATTTTTAATATTTTTAACATGTTTGTGACAGTGTTCTTCACCTCTAGGACCAACTGAACATTTTTAATGTAGGTTTTATATGTTAATTTCCACCACTTGTACTAAAATAGGTTTTCCATTTAGGTGCTGATGAAGGTGACAACATATCACCGAAAATTTCACATTTAGAATAAAGTTCTACACCAAACTGGCTTATACCATCTCTAGCTGATCCTTGTTTTGACGCTTTCCCGAAAGTTATCCTCCAAAGAATTATATATATATATATATATATATAATATTATATATATATATATATATATATATAAAATATAATTGTATAAGTAAGTCAATTAAACCGGATTAATTTTTCTATGCACACCACATAAACAACACTGGTTCCCTCTAAAAGATGGCGGAACGTCTGCGCAAAGGAGATGCGCGTACTTAGTTTTCCATGGAGAGTGGGCATTCTGATTGTTTATTATTCTGTGGTAGTGTGATTGTGGTTTTATTTGTATTCAAGATGACAAGATATACGGAAAAAGAACAAGTTCTAATATTAAAATTGCTTAAATATTTTCAATTGGAAAAGGAAGCTGGACAAACATTATTACCAATTTCTGCTGTTCGTGAAGTAAATTGAAAATTATCCTGAAAATAAAATTGTTTTATTTACTGTTTATTTCAGCGTGTTGCTGGGGCGTTAGAAATTTCTTTGCCAACCATAAGGCGATTAGCAAATGAAGGAATACAAAAAGATTCTGATTATACCAATAAAGTAAGCGAATCAGTAGCCACTAGTTGTGAGAACCCAACTTGATTTTAAATAAATACCAACATACCATTAGGACTCGTATATACGGAATGTTTATTAAAGGTAAGTTAAAGTCTCTAATTTTAAACAAAGTTAAAAATACCACTGCTGAGGTGCTATGTGCTATCCGTATTATAATACGGGATGGAAGCGTGGACACTGAAGAAAATTCACGTGAGGAGACTGAAGTTATTCGAGATGTGGATGTACCGAAGAGTACTAGAGATCTCATGGGTAGATGGAATAACCAACGTTGAGGTAATGTGACGTATGCGTAAGGAAAGAGAAGTACTAACAATTAAGAGGAGAAAAGTGGGATATATGGGTCATGTGATGAGAGGAGATAAAATTAAAAGACTGTCTCAAAATTAAAAATCTCTGTGATGATTGCCAACTTTCGACGCGCAGACAGCCCCTTGAGAAGAAGAAGATACAAAATTCAATAAATGAATCATTTTGTCGTCAATTTCGAATGTTTCCATATTTATAAATTTAATAAACAATATTGTTTACTTTTTATTTTTATTAATATACGGCATTACCCCCTGTGGCTAAGTACGATCCTGGAATCTGTCAGATTCTTCAATAATTATATGAAATAATGCTCGACACACCTAATTCATTATATGACTTCATAATTAATGACGCACTGAAAAGTACTTCTGATGTACATGACTCTACACATTGACGGACTGCTTCTCTTCTGTTGTTTATATGTCACATCCGCGGAGGCGTCTGTAAGATATCCGATTGTTGTCGGTTTTTTTTAGCACAGATCAAAGGGTTTCGGTGAGGACGTCCGACTCCTTTCCACACATCTGACCTCTGACTTTTTCTTTTCTATTTTTTTAATGATTCTATTCCGATGTACACTCAAGTAGTAGTTGAATGTTCTAAATAGGCATATAGCTATGGTCTCAACATCAAGTTCCATTTTTTTTAATGTTCGCGTAGATATTGCGTCTTCCGGAATTAACACAGACTGAACGATTTACAGATGTGTCCAGATGTGTGGTAAGCTTGTGATGATACATCCACAGATGCGTCCGCAGACGTGTCTGCCGATGTGTAGTGGAGGTATTATACGTCATACGTACAATACTGCTTTAAAAATTTTTTAAATAAATCTTTTTTATTTAATGAAGAAATATATAGACAGATAACAAAACACCGATTCGTTGTTCCTTTTTGCACAGGTATCGTATTAATGATCGATTAAAAAAATTTTTGCTAATTGTGGCACTATGTTAATATAACTAAACTTTCTTTTGACAAAATGTCTGTTCGAAAAAAATGGCTAACACCATTTTTTGATGAAAAGTCCTATTGTCTTTACAAAGAATCTCTTATATCAGATCTACTATACTTTTTATTTAAAAATTTTACACAGACCGTGAATATCTAAGTTTATGGAAAATACTTTTGTATTTTATATTTTGAATCGGAACATTAAATAATTTTTATGCAACTTATAATACTGCTTAATTGTTTTGTACTTTTGTGAGTTTTGTGAATTAAATATAGTTCTATGCTTACGAAATTGACAGACAATGATACCATAAACTTGTCATAATTGGATCAATGGAAAGTTCCTATAAGTTACTAGTTTGAAGTGCAATGCATTGTCAAAGTGAAAAAGTGATCTGGATTTTTTTTAATTAGGAATTATCTTATACTTCTTATTATAATAGTTATACATTTTTGTGTTTCACATTTAGACTATATAAGACGAAAACGAGTAGATAATTAAATTCTGAAATCAACACGTTTTCAGAAAGGTTAAAGAGCCTTGACATGTTCAATTAGCATAAAAGATCGTGGAAAATTAGAAAATCAAAGCAACTATGAACAAAAAGAAGCACCAAAGTGATCCAAACGCCGATATTTCGTCAGAATCCGCTGATGAGAACCAAAATAATGTAGAATGTTCTCACATCAATAAATCTGTGGATCTACAAAAGGTGAGAAAAGCTCTAAGTGGAACTGGCTTTCTCACAGATTGTGAATTTTGTAAAAAGAATCCTGAAACTAACGATATGGGTGATCTTGAATTTGACAACTCTCTATGGCTTTGCTTAAAATGTGGAAATCAGGCCTGTGGTAGAGGAAGAAATCAGCATGCTTTGCAACATTTTGAGACTCCACGTTCAGATTCTCATGCGATGTGTGTAAATACCACTATCTGGAGTGTTTGGTGCTATGGTTGTGACGAAGAAGTTAATTTAACATGTAAAAGAAAACTACTGGATGCTGTGGAAAACCTTCGGAAACAGGCTGAATCTAATAAGATAAAGCAACAACTACATATACCTCAATTATCTGATAAAGTAAGGAATTACTTTAAGAAATTGTTATTCTTATCATTTCTAGTTAATAACACATAATGTTTAGTCATGTTTTTTTATCTTTAGTTATATATAATTTATATATCCTTATATATACTTTCAATTCTATAACTATTTTTTTTTATTTATACATTTTTATAAAATAGGTAGTATATTGACAATTACAGTGGACGAATTTTACTTTTTATTTAAAAATAATATGTAATTGAGATACAAAACATTTTTGTGCTTAATTCTATTTTACTGTGAATTAGAATCTTATAAAGTTTACGAGTATTAAAAAAGAAATGAATAATTACATGAAAATAACTTAAAATTATGCCTTAAGCCTAATACTTGGTAGTGTCATCCTTTGCAGGAATGCTGCCTGGCACCTTCTCGGTATACTTTCTATGCATATCTGGCAATTTTGTGGTTTTTTTCACTCCTGTTCATTCTGATATTAAGCGCTTGCTCAATTGACGCTTTGTAGTTATAATTTTATTAGAAATTTCTTATGAGTGTCCAAAGATTTTCTATTGGATTCAAATCTCTGGAATTGCAAGGGCAGTTGTCTGGTGACAGGTTTGAAAACCCCAGATCCTTTATTTGCCATAATTGGTGCCAAATTCATGCATAATTTTTAGTTCAAAACCTTCAAGGTTTCTTTGTGTGCCAAGACAATATCTCGAATATTTCTTTCATCTCATATTGTTGTATTTTTTTTTTTTCAGCTACATTTTTGTTTGTGCTGTGAGATCAAATTAAAATTGTCGTCAATTTTTTTCTTTATACAGTCGACAGTTGCCCTTGAATTTTAAGAAATTGATGCTATTTCTGTTGGAGTGATCATTGTTCAATAATAAAGTTTTTATTTTCACTATTTTCCTTGGTGAGATATTTTTGGCTTCTTGCATGATGTTCTGGTGCCAATGGTGTAACAAACATGCAATGTTTGCTAAATTCATAAAAAATAGTGTATGACTGTCAGAATTTTACTAGAGATCAATGGAAAACTATTTATTATAACTCTAAACACCAAGAATACAAAACAATATGCACAAGCTAGGCTAGACAGCACTCATAAACTATGGCATCTGTGTCACAAATTTCTATGCCTGGTGTGGTCAGACTATTTATTTTACTTTCATAAATTATTACAAGATAATCAAGCAGAAACAAACTAATTTATATACTATACAACTCAATTATACACCCTTTTTCTAAAAAAAAATTAAATTTTGCTAGATGGCTCCAATAATTTGATCACCCACTGTACATATATAGATTTAAGAGTGCCAACAGTTGGGGTGCATCTACACCCTCTGTCCAGACAGAAAGTACATAGCTATATATGTACAGGTCTCTATTTTATATTGGTTAATAGTATGTGTAGATGTAGATGCATCCTGAAAGTAACCCTGGTGGAACTACTGGTTTAAATTGCATTTAAAAGCTGTTTGGTATTGGTATTATTAAGGAAAACAGGTGAGATTGTGATATTAACAGCACCTAGATATTTTTGCTACTTCCAAACAGTTTACAAACTAATCTACCCAAGTGTATAGGTGTCTTAGAGCAATGTATAATGGGCCTACATTTTTTTATTTTTACTTTCCAGTTTATTATTTTCACAATATACAAGTCTAATTCAAATACCTATTAATTCTTTTGGTTCAAATTTAAATCTTTCTGGTTGACTTTCCTTTATACTAGTGGGCAGCTTATTATAGAAAATCAGGCCATTTGAGTAAATGCTTCTTTGTGCACCAGAAATTCACATTCTTCCTGTACAAAAAGTATGCTTTTGCCTAGTAGTACATATACATGTTGTGTCAGTGTTGGGGCAATATTTGTAAGTACTTGAGAAAGGTTACATTTATATTAATACACAAACTTGCATAGTATACATTGATTCAATATTGAGTATTCTTATTGGACAGTACAGATCTGTTGGATATGAAGGTGTGGCAGTTGAAAAACGTATTTAACAGCCCTGTTCAGTAAAAGGATGAAGATATTTTTGATTGATATTACCCAAATGATGATTAAATGAGACAGATGTGAGTTATTAGAGAATACACCATTTCTTTGTAGCATGCCCACTGCTCAAGCTATTTTATGACATATATGTAATATGTGTTGTTCCCAAGTAAGTCATTTATCTATATACAATCTAAGATACTTGATCATCTCCTTTTTATTAAATTTGAATGTTCCAAAGTTCAACTGCATCTCTATATTACATTTGGAGTTATCACATAATTGCACTTTTCCATATTAAGTGGGAGTTTGTTGTACTTAGTGAGAGGGAGAGAGAAGTGATTATAGAGAAAGGGCTAGAGAAGGAAGTAGTGAGTTTGAACGAAGATTGAAGATAAAAAGCGATTTTCTTCTATTCAAATAAAAAAAATGCTTTTACTCATAAGTATTTCTTCTTATTTCTTTTGTTAGTGTATAAAAAATTTCCAAATATGTTTCATGATAGCTCTTAAAACTTTGTTAATAATAGTTTTGTTGAAATAATAGTTTTGTTGAAAGTTAGGAATGTAAATATAATTTGTTGATAGTAGATAAAAGTATAGATAATTTTGTTACATATTATCACTATATTACTCAATCAAAGATAATATAATGTGTAATGTATTAAATTCTGAACATGTATAAATCAAAGTACATATAAGTATATAAAAAATTATTTATTTAGTTTTATGATTAGAAATTATAAAAATTGGAGGCTCTAAATTATTAATTTATTTATGATTGAATTTAATTGTTATAATAAATCTTTTTATGACATACTGGCATAAATAATGTCTTATTCACAAAAAATAATATTGCAATATTCAAATATTGTAATTAAAGAAAAACAAAGTGGTTACTTTGTTTGTGAAAATTATACTTACATACTATCTAAATCATATCATATCACCAATATATTTGTTAATTTATTTGTCAAAAACGGCTATAGAAATCAAAACATTTCAATATATATTGTAAATTATAGTTTCAATATACAATTTTGTTTGTTTAAATTACCATTTTCAAAAAATGTGTTTGCCTGAACCCTAAACATTATTTATTATATGCTTTGTCACTTCTGATGATAAACATCTGATTTTTTTTTGTGTTTTTAGGCATTGGACATTAATCCAGCACTGCCATCTACAGCGAGTACAGGAGCAACTCCAAAGCTGAATAATTCTGTTACAGCTCAACTGCCAAGGGCAAGAGGTCTCTCAAATTTAGGAAATACTTGTTTTTTTAACTCTGTTCTGCAATGTCTTGGACAAACTCCTTATTTACTGAAATTGTTAGAAGAAACATCAGTAGATAACCAATATTTTAAACTTCCTGGTGGTAAAATTACATTGGAGAATAAAGAGGTGATTGAACTGGAACCACTAGAAGGTAATTTCTTTAGAATATAAATGTGTTTAACTAACAGTGGCAAAGTAAATATGATGAAGCACAAAGAAAAAATCTATAAATACTATTAATGGTTTTTGGTTTATCTTCATTCTGACATTCAATTTTTTCAGCTATGTACAGGGTGTCCCAGACTAATTTACCCACGCTATATTTTTTAAATGAATAGAGATTTTCAAATCGGACAAAAAGTGATCTATTCTACTTGTAAAACACTTTAATATAGCGTAAAAAAATGATCCCCTAAATATTCATCCCTTAGTTACAACCCCTAACTTTAATTTTTTTAATAGCACCCTGTATATTTTTTTATAGTTTTGGATATGGTCTTCTATCGTCTATTCAACCGATTTATTAAAAATAAAATCGATTTGTAAATAATCAAGAAATCAATTTATTTTTTATTTTTGTTAATTAAGTGTCCCAGACTAATTTATCCAGGCTATATTTATTAACAAATTTTAAAGGGTCAAAAACTGGTCTATTCCATTTGTAATACACTTTAATATAGCGAAGAAAAAATCATCCTCTAAATATTCATCCCTTAGTTACAACCCCTAACTTAATTTTTTTAATAGCACCCTGTACATTTTTTTTTTTGTTTTGGATGTGGTCTTCTATCGTCTATTTAACCGATTTTTTTTAAATAAAAAGGGTTTGTAAGGTATCAAGAAAATAGTTTATTTTTTTATTTTTGTTAAATTAATCAACGGAACATACCATCAACCACACTGGAAGATAACGTATGCTCCTACAAAGACAAAATTTTGAAAAATTAAAAATAATATTTAAATAAAAAGGGTGTGTAAGAAGTTATACTAACAAATATTTCTTTTCTATTCTATTTTTTAAGGCTATTTTGATTAATTTAACAAAAATAAAAAATAAACTGATATTTTCTTGATACCTTTTTACAACCCATTTTATTTTTAAAAAATCGATTAAATAGACGATAGAAGACCACATATAAAACTATAAAAAATGTACAGGGTGCCATTAAAAAATTTAAGTTAGGGGTTGTAACTAAGGGATGAATATTTAGCAGATGATTTTTTCTTCGCTATGTTAAAATGTATTACAAATGGAAGATACCAGTTTTTGTTCCTTTAAAAAATTTGTTGAGAAATATAGCCTGGACAATTTAGTCTGGGACACTTAATTAACAAAAATAAAAAATTAATTGATTTCTTGATTATTTACAAACCGATTTTATTTTTAATAAAATCTGTTGAATAGTCGATAGAAGACCATATCCAAAACTATAAAAAAATTTACAGGGTGCTATTAAAAAAATTAAAGTTAGGGTTGTAACTAAGGGATGAATATTTAGGGGATGGTTTTTTCTTGGCTATATTAAAGTTTATTACAAATGGAATAGACCAGTTTTTGACCCTTTATAAAATCTCCATTTTGTTTATAAATATAGCTTGGATAAATTAGTCTGGGACACTTAATTAACAAAAATAAAAAATTAATTGATTTCTTGATTATTTACAAACCGATTTTATTTTTAATAAATCTGTTGAATAGACGATAGAAGGCCACATCCAAAACTATAAAAAAATATACAGGGTAATATTAACAAAATTAAAGTTAGGTGTTGTAACTAAGGGATGAATATTTAGGGGATCAATTTTTTTCTACGCCATATTAAAGTGTATTACAAATAGAATAGACCACTTTTTGTCCCATTCGAAAATCTCTATTCGTTTAAGAGATATAGCGTGGGTAAATTAGTCTGGGACACCCTGTATACAGCTGTGTAACAACTATAAAGGCTATAGTTGGATAAGGTGGTAAAATCTGCTCGCAGCTGATTTTTTTTTGTTTGGCAACTTCAAAGTACCTATTTATAAACGCTTTTAGCCAAATTTTTAAGTGTTTCTTTGAAAAAAAAAAATAAATTCCTTTACGATCCTTTGCTTTAAAAAATCTGAAAAAATTCACAAACATACATTTTAATGCCCAAATACCCTCCGATTTTTTAAATCAAAATCGAGATCAGGAAAAATATTTAAATTTTTCAAAAAAAATTTAGGATATGTAGGTAATTTTTGGTAAACTTTAAAATAATTTTTTTCATGTATTTTTTCCTTGCTTTTGAATGGAGGGATTAGATTTTTTAATAGCTATTTAAGTAACCCAATATATTTCATAAAGTATGTAAACTATATTAAGTATGTGGTAATATATTCCTATAGAGCAGGGCTTACCAAACTGATTTTGTACTGTGAGCCCCATGGGACTTTGCTGCGCACTATTTCTTCTTGTTGGATAGACTCTAGTGTTAGGCTGTCCCTTCTTCTTATGGTGCCCTATCCAATTAGTGGATGTTGGCGACAATTCTGGCATACTCCTCTCAATCTTGTGTGGCTCTAAAAAGTGCATGGGCATCGAGGTTTGTCCAATCCCTTATGTTTTTAGGCCATGAGTATTTCTCTCTTCCGATGCCTCGTTTTCCTTCTATTTTCCCTTCAATAATAAGCTTTAAGAACTGGTATTTGGAATTTCGAAATATATGACCCAGATAAGCATAGATATGTCCCTAACATAGTTTAACAACCACTTAGGTAGCTAAGTTGGACATGTTCTCTGAAGTCCAATTATTTTTGAACATCCAGATGCCAATGTGTAACGATAAGGCTACCAAAGAGAATTGAAGTACTATTATAAAAATAATACCTCAATCAACTATGGGAGCTTATCGTCTATGACTTGCCTAGCTCAGTATCTCAAGTGTGAGTGCATCTTGTCTTAAACTAGGAATCAAACCTGAACCCTTAGCTGATACCAAATAAAACAATTTTTAACTAAACATATTTATTAAAACAAAATAAAAAACAATCAACCTTGCCAATGCTTAACAATGAGTTAGTGAGGATGATACTTATGGCATCGATGGGCTGCTTGTGTGGCCTCCCAATTAGATGTTAGATCCTCCGGAGAGCTGTAGTTGTACCATGTGAGTGTAGCCTCCCAATTAAGTGGTTAGGTCTTACAATGGTCAATAAATTGTTATAATACGGCCAATAAACCATGAATATGGTTAATTAATTCGTCAATAAACATTTGTGTCCCTAACATGGTTTAACAACCACTTAGGTAGCTGAGTTGGACATGTTCTGTGAAGTCCAATTATATTTGAACATCTCTCAATCCCATCTCATCTTATTGGTTACTTTATTAGAGCATACTTAAGAGCAACAATTTATTACATTTATTATAAGCATCATTTGTTTTAGGTGATCTTGAGAAGTGGAAACCATTAACTTCAACTTTAGCTGACACTTTAAGAGAATTGCAGAGTGGTAGACAAGAAGTGTATGTTCCGAGAATGCTCTTGTTGAGGTATTTAAAAAAAAATGTTATTTCTTATCTTATTGCCAATTGTAATGTGTAGAATATCGCTTAAATCAGTGGTTCTCAACCGGTGTTCCGCGAATTCTTTCCAAGTGTTCCGTAAAATACTCGCAATCCTACATACCATTTTGCTAAATTACTCTTTCAAATAAATATTTTCAAATTTTAAAATAGCCACTTACGTACATTTTAATTTAATTAAATTCTGCAGCGTAAATGTTCATTTGCCCAACGTGACAAACACCGCGTCGACACAGTGCACACGTTGGATTTTATAAGCGCTGAGCTCCGCAGTGGCCACAGCCAATCTGAGTCACCCACGCCACAGTCTGCAACTGAATGTTGAATTTGTTACATTGCACAAATATTATAATTGCATTGCATATGATATTAATACGTGAAAATCGCTTGTGTCAGTTTTTTTATGATAACGTTTACGTATGGCTTATCTATCAAAGGTAAGTAATTGCATATTTTATACAAAATGTGAAGCATTCATCTGCATTATTTTGTTTAGAGACGAATAAATTAAAATGGATAAGTTCCTCAAAAGAAAAACTACTGTGGAACAACTCATAACTAATGATGAAGCGAGCACCAGCGGAGATACTGGAACTTTACAAAGTGGGGTTGATGACAAATCGAAGCGCAGCAAAAAAATGTTGAACCGGCAATATTTGGATGAATATTTGGATTATGGCTTCATTTGGACTGGGAAGAAGACTGTCCAATTCCCAAGTGTATTGTTTGTGGGGAGACACTCGCTAATAGCGCAATGGCTCCGGCTAAATTAAAACGTCATTTTATTACCAACCACGCTAGTGTAGCTTCAAAAAATAAAGATTATTTCAAGCTACTTTTGGAGACAATCGAAACAATTTGAAAGGTCGCTAACAATTTCCGACAAAGCACAAATAGCTTCATATAAGGTCGCCGAATTAATTACTTTGAAACAGAAACCACACACTGTTGCAGAATCTCTTATATTACCAGCATGTTGTGAGATGGTCAAAATTATGTTTGGCAACGATGCACAAAACGAAATACGGAAAATTCCTATGTCGGATGATACAATAAGAAGGAGGATTGTTGATTTATCTGCAGATATTGAGGAAAAAGTTACAAATAAACTTTACAAAAAAAACTTCGCATTGCAGGTGGACGAATCCACTGATATTAGTGGCAAAGCTCATTTATTAGGATTTATTCGATTTGTCGACGAACGTGAAATAGTCAATCAGTTTTTAATGCTGCAGAGAACTTACAGCACGTACAACAGGTCAGGATGTACTTGATTCCATAACGTCATATTTAGAGAAAAAAAATATATCATGGGACTTTTGTGTAGGAATTTGATACGGATGGTGCCCCTTCCATGGTAGGCTCCATAAAAGGTTTTTGTACCCTTGCAAAAAAGCGAAATGAAAAATATCATATCTACGCACTGTTTCTTGTATAGAGAATCTCTAATTTCAAAAAACGCTACCAGCTACTTTAAAATCTGTATTAGACCAAGAGGTTTAATGTCGTGAATTACATCAAATCAAGACCACTAAAAACCCGTCTTTTTAAACAACTCTGCATCTCAATGGAATCAAAGTATGAATGTTTGTTGCTGCACACCGAAGTTAAATGGTTGTCAAGGGGCAAAGTATTATGTCGAATTTATGAACTTAGAACGGAGCTGTTAACTTTTTTCCAAGAAGAAGGTAATGACACATTTACCACATATTTTGAAAATGATGCATGGTGCACTAAAGTGGCATATTTGGCCGAATATTTTTAATTATTTAATTGGCGTTAACTCAAGGCAATACATATAAACTGATGACCGCGACCAGTGGAGAAATATTATCAATCAAACTGTCCGAGCTGCTGAAGCCCAATTATGAACCACAACACATCTACTAAGATGTTAATGACTGTGATGATGAACTCAAGTATGCAAGGCAAAAATGAAAATATTTTAACATCCACGGACAAGCTGTCAGCTTTCCAGAAAAAATTGTCATTTTGGAAGAAGCGCATTTGAGAGACAAAATAAAATGGATATGTTTCCACTGCTTCAGAATGAAGGTGATGAAGATAAAGAACAAGAAATCACGCATATAGTTACAGAACACTTATCACTATTAGAGGAGACAATTGCCAGGTATTTTCCATCTCTGAACGTAGAAAAATATGACTGGATAAGAAGTCCTTTTAGCACAAGTAATACAGCCAATTTCCAGTTTTCTCTGAACCAAGAAGAAGAATTTATTTCGTTGTCATCTGATCGTACTCTGAAAATGAAGTTTTCAGAAGTGAATGTTCAGGAATTTTGGATCTTGGTCCAAGAGGAATATCCACTTCTTGCCAAAAAAGCGATTAGTATTTTAATACAGTTTTCAACGTCCTATTTATGTGAATTTGGGTTCTCATCTTTAACAAACATTAAAAATAAGAAACGGGAAAGGCTGCTAAACTTAGAACAAGAAATGAGAGTAGCTCTTTCCCACATCAGGCCTGATATTGAGCAAATTTGCAAACGACACCAGGCACAAGTGTCCTCACTAATTTGAATATTTACTCATATGATGTATTTTGAGAATTACGCTTTTGTTAATTTTAAAAATGTTTTTTTGTTTACATATTTTAAGTAAAATTTTACAAATTTGAGTACGTATAATAAAGTTTATTACAGAATTTATGTGCTAATCCTAATTTGTTATCAATATATGCATGTTATTGCTTTGGTGTTCCGCAATTTTTTTCGGTAATTAAAAGTGTTCCGTCGCCACAAAAAGGTTGAGAACCACTGGCTTAAATAGATGATAAAGAGACACAAAAAAAGAAGGTTCACTGAACTAATTCTGCAAATTGTGTTGTTTGGCTTCATAGATCTATTTCTACGTTGTGATTTGATAAATCTTTTGTGTATACCCTATATCTATGTTTTTGTTGTCAGGGAAGCTTTTAATTTCTGCAAATGAGCACCTTTAGGAACAAACATTTGCAACAACTGACATAATTTTAGTAAAATATAGATAAAATTGTCTTGTAATTTGTATGTTTTTTTTATGAGTAACGTCATGCATTATTATTCTTTTAGGTTTACTAATAAAGTACCACAATTTGGATTTGGAGATCAACATGATGCTCACGAGTTATTAAGACATCTATTGGAAGCTGCCCGAGAGGAAGACTTGCGACGATATAAGACTGTTATTCTTGAAAAACTAGGTAAATATTGCTTTATTGGTAAGGTTATTTAAATATATTAAATTGGTTGTACTGCTATATTAAGTTTATACCCTACAAGATGTATATTATTAGATAGATACGTTAGGATGGAAGAAAACTGACTTCCTTAGTGAAGTACTGCTGATACACTTTTCAAAGTCAAGTTCGTTCACTAACCACTTGAGGTGGGAAATTATCAGGAGACATTTTTTGGCCTTTCCGTGTTGCTGTGTTTAATTTTGTGTCAGCCCGAGTGTCTGATGAAGCAGAGATGTTGATACTGCTAGTGATACTGATTTGAACATATAGTTTAACATCCAATAATTCTAAAATATATATGCTACCTGCTACTTTTCTTTATAAGTTCATTATTTAATGTAAGAACTTTTTAGGTTATAATGTTAAAACTGATCCAGCATCGGTGGAAGGTGATAAAAAGAAAATTGTGAAATTTTATGGTCAGCAAGCTTCTGAAATGCTGTTACCGACAGAACAGGTATTTAGAGGCGTACTTGTAAGTACTCTTCAGTGCCAGGATTGTGGACACACTTCACACCGAGACGAGTTCTTCTTAGATTTAAGGTATTTTCTTTTTTTAATATTGTTACATTAACAGCGATGCTACCAATTTAATTCTAAATGTATACAAGTGACACATCCGTGATCTCTTAAAAATATTAAAATTGTCACCAACTTGAGAAGTTATTCAGGATTATTAAATTGTGTAGGAAGTTTCCTCTGCAGCTGAGGATAAGAGCCTTAAGATGCTACGTGTTCTCGACTTTGTTGTATGGAATGGAAAGCTGGACACTAAAAGTGGGTAATATAAAAAAGTTGGAATCGTTTGAGATGTGGTGCAACGAGTTACAAATGCAGAAGTGTTAAGAAAGCTATAAAAGGATTGCAAGGTCATAAAGCACATCAAATCAAGAAAGCTGGAATTACAAGAAGCCTTACTCATAGTTGGATTGTAGGTTAAGTAGTTTGCCACTAGAATGCGCCACTTGTTGGACCAATCACTTATATCCTTTTACCTCCAAATAGAATGTTAAAGTTCCAGTTCAGCGATTGTAGTTATCTTAATATTAAAAAAAAATGTCACTGGTACCACTTTACTTCCAATGTATAATATATATATATAATATATATATATATAATATATATATATAAACAACAAAGTTTTATTGGGGCTGCAGTCAGAAGTTTGGCCGGGATGTTACAGAAACTCTTTTGACTTTTGGTCTAGCTTTCAGATTGTTTAATTCCTTTATCAAGACATAGTCGTTGAGATTATTTGTAATAAGTTATGACACTCAACATTAATAACAAACATATAAACTATAACTTATACAATAATGGATACAATACATTTTAAAATTTAGTTAAAAATAATAAAAGTTCTAAAAATTCGTTTTCTACATCTTCTTGGTGTGTTTTAACTTACCCACAGAGAATGAACCCAAACTTCTGACTGCAGCCCCAATAAACTTTGTTGTTTGTTTAAATTGACAGTCACGAATATCCAGTATTCATTGTATATATGTATATATATATATATATATATATATATAATATATATATATATATATATATATATATATATATAGTGGCTGTATGCAACTAACAAGTTTGTTCTATGTTCACAGTTTACCTATTAGTGAAAAAAAACTTCCTCCTGTATTAAGAAGAAAAGCCGAAGACATAGAGGATAACAACAAACCTTCCAAACATCAAATTAAAAAAGAAAAACGAGCAGAGAGAAAGAAAAATAAAAAACAGAAGAGCAGCAAAGGCGTACTGTCCAATACTATTGTATTTTACAACGATGGTACTTTTGTGAATAAAAGCGAGAGCGAATCTGATGCAGATGTTGAGGATAATGTTGAGGTTAGAAAATTTTATGCATCTAATATTTTAATATAAACGATTTTCAAAGATTTTTACAAGAAAAATATAGAGTTTAAAAGTTTACTAAATAAGCTTGTAAATATTTTAGCCCGACCCTTTTTTTCATTGAGTTATTTTCTCTCTGTGCTAAATTCCTCAATTTATTTATTATTAGCAAACACTTTTTGTAAATATCTCTTTTTTTTCATTTTGATCTTATTTGCAATTAGCTATACAGTGTTGAGATGAAGTGTGGAACCAAGTAAATATCTTCGAAACCATAAAAACAATATCCATGAAACTTTGCATTCAAGTACAATAACATAAATCATCTGATGCCATATTTTTTGTTACCATTTTACTTTCGGTTTCGCCGGAAATACCTTCAAATTATTCAATTTAAATGAGACACCCTGTATATTTTAGAATTTATCTGTTTTACTTCCGGTTTTACCGGAATACACCCAACTTATTTAAGTGGGATATCTTGTATATTTTTTAAAAGAACTTGTTATTTGTAATTCATACATAACAAGTTCGGTAGAGATAATTTTGTGAAAAACAAAAATAAATCAGTTTACAGTTAAACAATAGATATATTTATTAACTAAGACCAACGATAATAATTTAAGCTAAGAATAATAATTTAAAACATTCAAAATGCTGAAAAAGTTATTTTGGATATCCCGAAGGAAAAAATCTAACGGGTTAAGGTGTGGAGCTCGAGCAGGCCACTCTATGAATCCTTCATGTCCAGTCCAACGATTTGGAAAATTCGCATTAAAAAATCTCTAATCCGTCTATAATAGTGGAGGGATGCTCCATCTTGTTCTTCTTCTTCCTTCTTGTATGTAGGCTTTAAAGCTATTTTTTGTTCAATATTAGCCTCATAAATTGTTTAAATTGTCGCACCATCTTTTTCTTGGTCTGCCAATAATTCTTCTTCTACTTCTTCAAAACTGATTTCTATTTCCTATCTTAGATACGTTATTGTATTGATTTTTATTTTTCTTTCCTTTACAACAGTTCCTTCAGGTATCTTTCCCATTCGTTTGCTGGTATGTTATTGTATTCTTTCAATTCTGCTGTTTCTTTCCGTTGGTTTCTTATGGATATCAATATTTGTTTTTGTGTACCGTAGAAGTAGCTTTCCATCCTTTTTGTAAACTGTTCCCAGTGTTCATTTGTTGTTCTTCTTACCAACTGCTTTTTTTCATTTGGTATTCTTCTATAGGTATTTCTTTCTTATTCTTCTATCTTGTTGAGATCAAAAGTTTTGTGATAACTGAGAATAATACTTGTCACCAAAGTTTCGGTGTATGAAAAATGGGCATGTAAGCCTATTTTGAACCATTACCAACATTCACGTTTTTGGATGCTGGACGAACTCAAAGAAGTATGCAATAAAGACACGAAAGGCTCCGGGACTCGATGGGATACCACCAGAAGCGGTGAAACGCATCGACAGTTTGGAGCCGGCGTGGATTTTGGAACACATCAATGAACTGCTTGAAATACAGCGATTTCTGGCAAATTGGAAGATCTCGAGGCCTGTGCTACTCCCAAAGGGGGAAGACAAGTATTAACTGTTTGCCTTCTGCCGTACATAGGTAAATTATATGGGAAGCTTCTAATAGAGCCAATAGGCACAGTCATTGATGAGGCAGGCGGACTTTCATGCAGGCAATACAGTTTCAGAAAGAACAGGAGCACAATTAATGCGATAATGGAATTGGCAGGATGGAAGTTTACCAGAAGTGGGCGATTCTACTGCTCTTTGACGTCTGGAATGCTTTTAACGCCTTAAAATGGAAAGAGGTAATGAAGGCTTTACGAGAGGGAAGGTGGCTGGGTTACTTGATGAATTTGGTGTCGGACTATCTGTCAGAGAGGGAAATTGTGATAAAAAAGGAGCGGTGGTTCCAACTTGGAACGAAAGAAATTGCATAACCAAAGTAATATCTTTCCAACGCTTAAAGGTAACATACAAATGTCCGACTATATCTGGTAATAGCGCTGGAGATTTAATACAGAATTTACTAATACATCTCTTTTCATCTATTATCATTTTCTAATGTTTCTGATTGTCGCAGATCTTCATTATCTTGCACCATATGATTTTTAAATATTTTGTTTAAATTATTAGGAGGCTTCAACTTCCAAAGTAGCTCCACACGAAGACATTCCCAAAGGAACTGAATCAGGATATAATTCAGATAAAATCGACAATAGCAGTCCAGATTCAAATAACCGAGGAGTTTCACCGGAGATGCGGGTAGATGACAGCGGAGTACCGAGTCCGACGGTTGGTATGCTGAGTGTAACGCCGGGAAGTCCCGAAAATAGTCCTGTTTCGAGCGAGACGCCTTTGGACACCTGTAGTAGTTCCAGTCCTATTTGTGGACGCAATAGTCCCAATGATGAGTAAGTAACTTGATTTGTTCGAAATCTATTCATATAGTTTAAAAATTTATTGTTAGGAATGAACATTTAGATTTGATGATCATGACGATAATGTCTCATAGGAGATATTTTACAAGATTTAAATTTAATGAAGTTGTTATGATGATCTTGTGCAATATTTTCATTACAAGATTGACATAATTGTCAAATATGATTGTAATTGTGGCAAGTCCGTAAATAAATTATTAATTTATCTTTATGAATCTGAAAAAGAAGATATAGAGTCAGGGAAATAAGCAAAAAAGTACCCTATTTGTGAGATTGAACCGGCCAGCCAAAAGACAGTTGTTTTGAGTGGCATGGAACTCTATAACAAGAACCTATATGTTTCCTGCAGTCAATTTTTTTTATTTATTTAGTTATTAACAAATTAAGGTCAAAAACCGGTAAATTTTCACTTTTTTCATCTATCAGCAAAAGACAAACTACACATTCAAAAAATTTGAAAAATTTTGAGAAGGTATATGTGATAACTAGAAGTATTTTAGCAAATTTTGAGAAAACTTTATGTTTTCGTTTTCGAAAAAACTCAAAAAATTACTTTTTTCCAAGTATAAAGCGGGAAAACTAAACATACAATTTTGTTTATTTTCTTACAGCATAAAGATATAATACTAAGAAATACTTTTGAATTTTTTGAAAATTTTTGAATGTACAGTTTTGCCACACTATAAAAAATAATATATTCCGGCTTATAATACTACCGGCTACCGGTAAGAAATCGGACAAAATTTAAATAACATATATAAAACTGTAGAAGTGGAAAATATTTGCAATAAAACGTTGAATATTTTTTCCTAAATACTCATGCTAAATCTTTCTAGAGGCAAAACCAACAGTCAGGTTTAGACGAGAAAAGTATGAATATGAGCTGATAAATATCGAATGCTCTACAGTGTGTAAAAGCCAAAAGGAATAAATTCAGTATTTAGGTTACTGTACATATTTATAAAAAATCCCGAAACACGTCAAATTTAAATTATAACTTGACATTCTTTAACGTGAAAATGCAACCCCTACCTTCAACCCCCTTAGAATGACAGGTACAACCCCCAATTTTTAAAATAGGAAGTATAGGCTTGTGATATATCGGTTGAAAGGTCTTTTCATTCTCCATTCAAAAATGTTGTCGCTTTCAAGTTTATTAAGATTAATTAAGATAAAATGCATTAAAATCATGTGGTTACCGAAATTCGCTAAAATATACTCAAAACGTTTTTCCCGTTTAGTCTTGATAATGAGAAAGTGAACAAATACGATAGCAATGTGGTTTTTAGATGGTAACCATTAAAAAACTTTAAATAATTTCCGTGGCAACGTTATTTTAACACGCATTAGTAAATTGTTTTATTTTAATAAAAGTTGTCAGTATTTTAATTTAAGTAAAAAGTTCGTTTAATTCAATTCTGAAAAATGGTTAGATTAACGGAAATGCATAAAATAACAGTTTCACAAATGATTGATTACGGAGATAACACCCAAACACAACAGAAAGTAACCCGCCTATTTCATGAGAAATTTACCGCCTATATCCCAAGGAACAATAAGTAAAATAGAGAAGCAGTTTCGCGAGTTTGGTCATGTAAGGCAGATAAAAAAAAGCAGCTGCCAATGCACTGAGTGATGAACTCAAATTAGATGTGTTGCTTGAGTTTCAGGAAAATCCACATACATCGAGTAGACAGGCATCCACTACATTCAATGCTAGCCATACATCGATAGTAAACATATTAAAAGAAAATAAATTGCATCCCTATAAGATGATACCTACTCAGGAGCACATGGAAGACGATTTTGATAGAACTTTTTTTTGTGAGCAAATGATGAACATGTTGGATAACAATATTATCCAATTAGAAGACATTATGTTTTCTGATGAGTGTACTTTTTCACTTAACGGTCATGTTAATCGGGAAAATTGCCGCTACTGGGCCACGGAAAATCCTCACTGGATGAGAGAAGAACACACTCAATACCCTCAAAAGGATAATGTTTGGGCAGGGATTGCAGGAAACAATATCATTGGTCCCTTTTTCAAAAAGAGTAACTTGAATGGTAACAATTATTTGGCACTACTTCAAAATGATGTCATTCCAACGTTGGCAAATTTATATCCTGATCCAGGAAACCCTCAAGTTCCAGCGAATACGATATGGTTTCAGCAGGATGGAGCACCACCACATTACCAACTTAATGTCCGGCAGTACCTCGATACAATATTTCCCAATCGGTGGATAGGGAGGTGAGGATCGATTGAATGGCCAGCGCGATCACCTGATCTTACATTATTAGATTTCTTTTTATGGGGATATGTGAAGAGCCATTTGTACAAAACTAAACCTTCTGATTTAAATGACTTAAAAGAAGGAATAACGCTTGCGATTGGGTCGATCACGCCTGTTATGTTAAATGATGTTAGAAGACAGTTTTATTTGAGATTAGGATGTTGCCAAGACGTTCGCGGTGAACATTTTGAACATCTACTTCATTAACATTCATAGTTCTTTTTCGTGTTCTACATTTTATTACGTTTTGCATTACATTTTGGTTTTTGATTTCGGTAACCACATGATTTTAATTTATTTTATCTTAATTAATCTTAATAAACTTGAAAGCGACAACATTTTTGAATGGAGAATGAAAAGACCTTTCAAGCTTTATATCACAAGCCTATACTTCTTATTTTAAAAAATTTTTGGTTGTACCTGTCATTCTAAGGGGGTTGAAGGTAGGGGTTGCATTTTCACGTTAAAGAATGTCAAGTTATAATTTAAATTTGACGTGCTTCGGGATTTTTTATAAATATGTACAGTAACCTAAATAATGAATTTATTCCATTTGGCTTTTACACACTTTCATCACAGTTTATAGATCCAGACACGTAGAGATTTTTTTAAAAAGAGAATTTGTTTAATTAAATAAAACTTTTTTCCGTCTTTGATAACTCAAATTTTGGTTTTTTTCTAGGATTGTGGAGGAGTTCGAGCGACCAGAGTCAAGACTAGCATTTGTAAGTAATAAGAACGCGGATCTAAAAGTTGACCTAGAAAAACTTAGTTTAGTAAATGCTGATAATCAGAAAAAGCTTTTTGATCAAGATGAAGATAGTAATATGGAGGGTGCTTGCGGTCCCGTCCCGGAGGACGAAAAGGTAGAGTTTAGTAGACTATTTAGATCAGATTCAGATATCAATTTAATATCAACTTATCATTTTGACACATTTAATTTACTTTCATATTATTTATTTCATAAAATGTAAAGATAAGTCGTATATATCATCAATGCCTTTTCTACTCCATAAATAAATAAACTTACCCGCAAAAAGTAATATTTGAAACAAGTCCTAAATATTCATTAATTTTACCTAACAAGAATATTGGAATAGAGTAAACATTATAAGCTTGTGATTCTGATAGCTTGACAAGACAACATTCTTGGAAATTTGCAGCACAAAAAAACTTCTGCGATATATCTACAATCAAAAATCACAATTGTAGAAAGTGACTCATGTTTTAATTATTTTTTTATGCCAGTAAAATTGGACGTTTATCCTATTGGCGACGTACAAGTACTTCCTCCGCTACCGCTCTCTATCTCCGCTTCAAGCTACGTTGTTTTGTCCTTCCATATCGTAGCTACAATTGACTGAGGCAGCCCCGTACGGCGAACAACACCGATTGCTTTTCACCTTTCTCTGTTGCTCGAATTATCGATAACTTTTCCTCCACCGAGAGCACTTTACGCTTTTTCGAAAACATGTTGACTGTTGACACACTGAGACACAACTCAAACTGGAAATAAAAACTGTTGTCAATAGATGACAACATATGTGTGGTAACAGTTAAGGTCGATTCAGACACATCAGTCACGTCTCGTCACAGTGATTGCGCCGAACCGAACAATCCGTCATACAAAATATTCTTTAATACAAATATGTTGCCGGCATTCACACTCATCAGTTGACAAACAGTTCCCAGCTGTCAGATAGTTGATAGTTCTGTGACCAAACAAGACCGGTTCGGCGCCGAGACTATGACGGGACTGATGTGTCTGAATCGACCTTTAGGCACGCCGCCCGACAAAACAAAACAACCGCTGAACAATAGCCTTGCCAATTCGTTCTAAAATCCTGATTATTTTTTTAATAAAAACCGCACGCCTTCGACTCTTCGATTTCCTTTCCCCCAAATACGCAAAGGTCTACATTGAAAATATTAGTCACTTTCTACAATTTTGGTACTGTGCTGTAGTATTGGTTCTAAAATAGATAGATAAATAACCAAAAAAAAAATGAAACCCTTAGAAGCCACTAAGAATTCTAAAAGATTAGTATACGCTTCTTTTGCTTTATTATGTGTTGAGTGTAAGAGAAAACATTACGTAAAGACTGAGAAAGGATATTTACTACAGACGGTCGCCAGTTGTCAAGAACAAGGCTTTTCTGTGTTTTCCACAACTTGAAAAGTGTCTTTTGTGGTAATCACTAACACACTATTATTTTTTAAATTCACTAACCTGCTAATTTCCCCAATAGAAGATTGTGGTTTAAATAAACATTTCCTCATGAAATTCCTACAAAATTTCATGTAAATGTCCCGAAAAACAAGTGAAATTTCAAACATTGTTTACATTTTTTGCCCCCTTATTTGTTGCACCTAGCGGACAACGAGCGCACTAAACTTTAAAAAATCGGCTTCACCTATTTTCCACGGGTTCTGTGTATATGGAATAGAATAATATGTAAGACAACAAAGTGTGTCTGATGAATATAGTTAATTTTGAGAACTTTGCTTATATAGTTTTAGTTCTTATTTACCGAGTTTGCATCAGTCTAATATGCATGTCTATTATTATAAATAGCATTAATAAACTTTTTTTATGAGTTCGACACTATTACGTCATGATAATTAGGTTTTGTGGGTCAATTTTTATGTTTTGTGGCAAAATTTAGATTTGTAAGTAGGTTTTGTAGATTTTAAAAATAATTTTACATTGATCATTTCCATTTTCATTAAAATTATGTATAGAGTTGTTGGTGCATTTACAAAGTATGTACAGTTCGTGCCTAAAGTCTGCCACCAATGTATTTTCTGAACAATCATCTTAAATTAATAATGTTCAGAATGTTTTATGACATTTTATTTTTAAATGAGCATTCATTCTTCACCGGGCAAGCCCAGTGAAGAATGAACGATTCAAAAACTTGAAACAAAAGACCCTGCTGCCACCAAATATCTGATACGCTTATTTAATTGCATATATAAAGAAGTGTACCAAAGGAGACTAGCATAGAAGATACAGCTGAAACAAATAGACAACATCGAAGATATAAACGAAGCTGGGAGAAAATTAAAAGCAACATTGAAGAAGCTGCATTAGAAGCTCTAGAAAAAGGCAGTCACACTGAACAAAACAAACAACAAAAATACACCATGGTTCAGAAAAGAAATAAAGAGAAATGTAAAGAGAAACGATAGGCCTAGAATTCCGAGTTGGAGTAAGAAGAACAAAAAATGAACACTGACAACAGTTTACAAAAAGGATGGAAAGCGATTTCTACGGTAGACAAAAACAAATATGGAGATTCATTAGAAATCAACGGAAAGAAATGGCAAAATTGAAAGAATACAATGACATACCAGCGAACGAATGGGAAAAATACCTGACGGAACTGTTTAAAGCCATAAATTCACTGATAGAAAATAGAACATCGCCAGGACCAGACGGAATACCCAACGAGCTTCTAAAATATGGAGGAGAAAGTATAACCCTAGAGATGACAAAACTTATACAAAAACTAATATTGCACTGCAAAATACCAGACGCATGGAGAAACAACATAATGATACCAATGTTCAAAAAAGGAGATAAAGAAGACCCCAACAATTATAGAGGTATAAATCTAGACAAAACATAAATAGATGGGTGACAAAATGGAAATAGGAGTGAAACGAACAGAGGACAGGATAGTACGAATAGCACGAGATAGGTGACCAAATGGACGAAGAAGTATTGGCAGATCAAGAAAAAGATGGTGCGATAATTTAAATAATTTAGGAGGCTAATGTTGAAGAAGAAACAGGCTTTAAAGCTAACATACAAGAAGGAAGAAGAAGAAGAAGCTGGGACACTACCTCAAGATCTTGCTCACAACCACATTATATACCATATGTTCGGATTTTTTATTATTTGTTAAATGGCAACCATGTCAACACCGCGCTTGGTTATGCGCATTCATTCCATTTTTAGTAAGAAGTATTAAGTAAGAAGTAAGAGTACAATTAAACAAAATTACAGTCCACAACGTTTCAATTAAAATCTATTTTACCAGTAAACCAGCGGAGAAGTGAAGACAAGCTAGTCTTTTCACATTCTATTAAACACTATAACCCAAGAAACTTAAGGCAAGAAAATGTTATGTTTCATGAATCATCTCACAATGTGGTTTCATAAAGGATACAAGATATTCAATCCTGAGACTAACGATAAAACCCCTGCATCTCCTTTGTTGCTTACAAAAAAGCTTATGATCAAGTCAAACATAAAAAATTAATACAAATTCTCCAACAGTGGGTTTGAAAGGACATGATATCATGACAATTTGTAACACGTACTAGAATCAATAAATTGATGGTAATAACACAAAATTGGTAAACATTGAACTAGGAGTAAGTCAAGGATATATTCTGTCCCCAATTCTTTTTAATGTATATGCTGAATATATAATCTTATCTAGAAGAATGTCCGGACTTAGCAAGAATCAATGGCATTGATATTAACAGCATACGGTATCCAGATGATATGGTGAGCAACACAGAAAATAAACAACAGCTCCAGTTACTCGAAAATTTATTAATTTAGGTTTTATGGTTTAGATAATATATTTTTGTAGATGTAACAACAAATTCACTTTTCGTATGTTACACGAAAAACGTGTTTCATGCGGTACGGACTGACATCAACTTGTTTTAAAATCATTTACTACATTCTAAATTGTAGCCAAAGAAAAAGGCTACAGTAAGTTTCTACTTAACTCTAATTCTCTCTAAACAGATGGAAGAAGACCAATGGGGAGCGGAGGATGAAAGCTTGTGGTCCGGTACGATATCTTCCCGGTATCAATGCGAAGAAGGCGAATGTTCGGTGCAATCTTGTTTGAATCAATTTACCGAATGTGAATTGATGGCTGGAACTAATAAAGTAGGCTGTGAATTGTGTACCAAACGATTGGGGGGACCGGAAAAGAAGACCGTGTATACAGACGCTTCAAAACAGTTGCTCATATACAATCCACCTGCCGTGCTGATTCTGCATTTGAAACGGTTTCAGGTAAGAAGTATTTACAAAACAATCTTTTACATTAATATAATATTTTTTTATTTAGAATTAATTTTATCGGCTACTATGGTCACTTATAGTATATTCATTTAGAGAAATATACAATTATTACAGAAATTTCGAATCTATTTTTTCATTTTTTTTTTAACACCGTCTCTAAAGAAACAATTACTTTTTCTGAAGAATGTCGGTGAAGAAATTTAGTAAATTTTCCACTTTGTTTTAGAAATCCAGCATGAATTCCATCAAAGCCACTGGGTTTTCCTGTTTTTATTTCATTAAAGTTTCACTCTCCTACAATTTTTCGCTGTCCTCAGACTATCCAGGAATATATTCTTTGAGGTACCCTCTAGGAATTGTTGCTTTCACTGATTTTATTGATCCTGTCAATATCTCCTAGTATAGTTATGCTTTTTAGCGGGATCCAACCTAAGCATTTATCAAGATTACTAGAGAAAGCCAACCAATAAGCTTTCCTGAAATTCCATCTGGGAGGTGGAAATGATAATTTCAATGCTAATACCGATTTTGATGAGAATGGGGCAATTTTGGCAATGGAGAAGATCGTACATGACCTTTCTTGATGCTGGCAGAGGTTGGTCTTTGTCGTCAGTGGTAAGATAAACAAAAATCAAGGTTATATTCTCTCTTCCAAGCTGCCGATCTAAAAGTGCCTCTATCTTTGGCGTCGAAAAAGATGTGGATACCATGTTCTTCTGATCACTCCAAAAGGGACGAACCATTTTTGTCAGTTTGAGGACTTTCATATCTCATGGTGACTGTTAAAATCCCCTATGTATATGGCTGGGAGTTTGTAGAGAATAAGAACATGTGTAGGTGAGGTAAGAGCAGGGGCTTATAAATGTTGGCTATTTATGTTATCTAGTGGATGTTGTTCTTGGTAGAAGTGGAAATTAAAACTGCATTTTCTATGTTTGTGCATACATAGGTTGCTACACCATATGCTCTATCGTAGATAGCACCAAGTAGATCATAGTCTGGAATTTTTCCTCTTGAACCCAATTGGACTTCGTTTCAAAGTAAAATTGAGTGGTAGAAATTGATAATAAAATAAAATTGGACGACCAATAGTCCAATGAAGACATGAAGACAAACAGAATAGTCCAATATTTGTAAAGAAGGATCACTTACCCTTTCAGCAACCGGTTGTCCATTATTTTTTTTTACTGCAATATATTTTAATTGTATGGGTATAGCCTTCTAACAAACAAATTTTAAACAGCCTTATTCCAAACTTATGACGTTTTACTTTCACGTACTATCGAAAAGATAACTTGTCTCTAAATGGGATCATAGTTTCATCAATACAAACAGTTGAGCCTGGAATCATACATCGATGAAAATTAGCGTTTATTTCATTGACCAGACATTGAATTTTATGAAGTCTGTCATTTTCAGAACACTCGTCATTATTTGCTAGATGAAACATGCGTAAGAGTAATCCGAATCGATTTCGGGGCATGTATTTAGCAATATCAATTTTATATACTGAAATTTTGCGTCAGTAATTAGCTAATGTCGGCTTTGAATCTAGTCCCATCCAAAGCAGGAGCGCTATGAATATACGTATTTCAGTGTAGTTAGTTTCTTTCCGATAATTCAAACGTGACTCCTTCGTAATTGTTTGATTTACTATTTCGGTAAGAATTTGTTGCTCTGAATACCTATTTGTTTCGAGAACAATCATATCTATAACATCTTCAGAGACAAACAGTTCAAAGAATAACAGTTCATTCTTACCGGCCATTTCGTTTTCAAATGTTCAGGAAAGCCAAAATTCAAAGGACAATCGAAAATTGGAAAATTTCCGGAAACAGGTCCCTAGTTTGAATCTTGTAAAGAATTTTCTTCTGGTCTGACAGTATCTGCCAAAAAATCACTTGAGTCAGAGAACTGTCTGATTCTTCCTCCATTACTCGAGATGACTGAACAAGGGATGGTCCAGCAGAAGTATTGGGTTTTACGTCTCCAGGGTAGTCCATTTTCAGATAATGCTTACTATGCGCAAATCAAGGTGTTGTGTCAATTTAAAAGATGTATTATAATATGTAAAACAAATGTAAATTCATTTGTGGGAAGCCAATGTAATAGTAAAAAATCGGATTATACAAACTAACATTTTATTTAAGATTTTAGTGAACAAACCTTTTGTCAAAATTTTCTTTTTTTTTTTTTCGCTACAGATTCATTGTCGGATTCACTCGTCAATGTTGCATCTATATTACAGGGTGTTTCAAAAAAGGTAACCCCGTCTCTAGGGTAGGTAAAAAACTGAAAAATAATTGGGGTTTGCTTAGTAAAAATTTTTTTACGATTTTGCCGAAACTACTGGCAACATTGTAATGAAATTTTATGCGAATATGTTTTGGAAGCAGATACATCCCATGAATTTGTTTTTATATCTGATTCTCATAGAGGGCGCTAGTTACACGGATCGTACTAAGTATTAGTCAATATAACTTTTTTAAGAGTATTATTATTAATCAAAATTTCAAATAAACTTAAACATCATTCAATTTTACACGAAAAAGGTACTCTTGGTAAAACTCGATACTGTGTACCGATTTCGGAATATTTTGATTTGAAAATTATGAAGTAATAATTGATGCTGGTAGTAATGATAAAGTTCTAATAGGTATACCTCTATTTTCTCCAAGTGTGCCATGGAAATCTGACATTTATTGATTGTTATGACGATAAATCAACAATAATTAGAGTTTTGAAACCTTGTTATTTGTAAAATCAAATCAAAATGTACTCAAATGTTGAATACACTGGCATGTTATTAACCTTAGGCGAATGTTTAGGATTTTCTTGTGCAGCTGTGACACGTTAATGCAGAAACAGTTTCCTAGAAGAAACTTACCAAGTAAAAAAACATTTAGAGCCGTTGAACGACGTTGTCGAGAAACTGGGAATGTGAGACCAAATAAAATAAATTCGGGTAGACCAAGAACAACAAGAACGACTAATAAAGAAAATAATATTTTAAATTTACTTGATCAAGATCCAACAGTTAGCGTAAGGAATATAGCAAGACAAACAAATACTTCTTCTTCAAGTACTTGGCGGAGACTGAAAGAACAGCAATTACATCCTTATTATTACAGACAAGTCCAAGAGCTCTTGCCAGATGATCTACCGGTTAGAGTGGATTTTTGTGAAACATTGCAACAAAGGACAGCCCACAATCCAAATTTTTTAAAATGCATTCTTTTTACGGACGAGGCCACCTTTACGCGATAAGGTATGTTTAACTCCCATAATGTACACTACTGGTGTGGTGAGAATCCACGAGTCAAAAGGGTATCACATTGCCAACACTCATTTAAAGTTAATGTTTGGGCAGCAACTTTAGGTAACAAATTAATATATTATCATATTCTACCTGGAAATTTAAATGGTGATATGTATCTTGATTTTTTAAACAATTCCTTATTCGAGATATTAGAAGAAGAATTTAACGCTAAAACGAGCGAAGATCTTTATTTTTTATGCACGATGGGGCTCCACCACACTTTGATAGAAGGTGTCGTAATTGGTTGAATAATTATTTTCCGAATCGATGGATTGGTAGAGGTGCAGAAGCTCTGATTCATTGGACTCTCGGTCAACTATTTTCAATTATTACTTCATAATTTTCAAATCAAAATATTCCGAAAACGGTACACAGTATCGAGTTTTACCAAGAGTACCTTTTTCGTGTAAATTGAATGATGTTTAAGTTTACTTGAAATTTTGATTAATAATTATACTCTTAAAAAAGTTATATTGACTAATACTTAGTACGATCCGTGTAACTAGCGCCCTCTATGAGAATTAGATATAAAAACAAATTCATGGGATGTATCAACTTCCAAAACATATTCGCAGAAAATTTCATTACAATGTTGCCAGCAGTTTAGGCAAAATCGTAAAAAATGCGTAATATATTTTTTTCTTCAACGCCCTGTATCTTGAAATCGGATGGCGTTACAAAAATTTTTTACTAAGCCCAATTATTTTTCAGTTTTTTACCTACCCTAAAGACGGGGTTACCTTTTTTTGAAACACCCTGTATATGTTATGGTTCATCGGATTGGAGCGTGTGACGCGTTAAATGAAAGTAGAAGGGATACAGATAAAAAAACAAACAAGGCATCATACATTCTAGAATCCCGATACGTTAGAATCTGGCCACGTTCTAGTATTTATATAATTTTTTTTGAGTTAGGATTTTCGTCAACTTTAAATAATATACAGGCACATTTACTCCGGCATCCTTTTATGCTTCTAATTCCAACTCTAAATATCGGAGTTGTTTGTTATCGTGCGCCATATTTACTTTTCAATCGTGAAGTCGACGATACGCTCCCATCGGAAGTAAATAACAAACTGAAACATCTTACACGTGTCACTCTCTTACTGGAAAGAAAACAGACTATTTGACCTTCAGTGTCCATCTTTGGTACACATGACCTGCAACTAGACATTAGTAAAAATTTCTACCATATGAGGCCAGCAATTTCTATAAAAATAACCAAAAAAAATTTGATTTTTGCTAAAAACAAACACAAATAGAGTAATTAAGAAGAAAAAAATATTTTGGCCCAGAAAATCCGTTACAAAATTTACTCTGAATTTATCTGGCAGTTAAAGTGTTAAAGTATCCTGTGCTGATGTCAGATTTGGCGTCTATAGTTTACTATATCATCTATATCATCGTATTAGGTCCGTAATATTTTATTTAAATATATTTTTTAAATTTCTAGGTGTACCGCTTCCGTTCGGCCAAAGTCAGCAAAAACGTGAAGTTTACTACTCTTCTCGACATCGCTCCATTTTGCTCAAAACGTTCTCAAAACCTGCCAACGTTCGAAGACGGTCAAACCAAGGTTCTGTATTCACTTTATGGGGTAGTAGAACACAGCGGCGGCATACACGGTGGACACTATGTCGCATACATTAAAGTCCGTTCGCCTTTAGACGAAAACAGCTACAGATGGAACTACCTTCCCAAAAACCAAAAGCAAAAAACCGATAACAGTTCTAAAGGAGCGGCCGGAGAACCGGAGGTACCACCTGGAAGATGGTTTTATATTAGTGACTCATACGTGTCTGAAGTATCAGAATCCAAGGTGTTAGCAGCGCAAGCTTATTTACTATTCTATGAAAGAATATTGTAGGGTTTTTCAATTATATTTAGACATGGACTTGTAGAATATACTGTTAATTAAGTTCATTTGAGGTGTCTTAAGGATTGTGGGAATCAATTCATTTGAAAAATGTTACAAAATAGTCAAATATAATTTATATTTACTCTCTCCGTGGATGTTATACTTTTTGTATTGGTTCTTAAAAATGTGAAAACAGTTTTTTGACGAAAACAGTGAAGTTGGAAGATATTTAACATACAAGAATCTTTATATATTTATTATTAATTTGTGATATCATCGGATTATTATTAACAGGGACCCTCATGGTCAAACTAAATACAAGAAATGACATTAAGCATAAATTTGAGATTCCAGAAAAGCTTACGACGTGATTCATACACTTTTTCATTTAATTAAAGGTTCCGAGAAATACACTGGGGTGCAAAATTAACCGGATATTCAGATTTTTCCTAAAAACTGGCGTTAAAAAAAGTTTAAGATGTTCCCAGTTGAGTATTTAACATCAAGTTAGAATCTATGGAGAAGCTATGAGCAAATTAACGTGTGTATTAAAAACGGCGTCAGTGGGCGTGGCTAACGATCATACCAATATGGCAGTGGGATCAGGGCCAGACTCAATATTATTAAAACTACTATACAAATATGACTAGTTATTTAAAAGATCTTTCATTTTTAATAAACTATGTATACATAAAGATACATTAATACAGTCAAATAACAAGTTGTATTTAGAGAATAATATAAATAATATATAGTTCCAACGTACTTGTTTGTCTCCCTTCTTGTGGATAGGTACTATATGGCTTTTATACCAGTGTTTCGGTATTTCTTCTTTTTCCCAGACTTCTCTTATAAGATGATATATCTCAAGGTAGAGCTTTTCTCCGCTTTTTTTTTAGTAGTTCCGCATGTATGCTGTCTGGGTCTTTGGCTTTATGGTTTTTTAGGGACGAAACTGTGGACTTCAGCTAGTGTGGGCCCTGGTATTTCAGGTTCGGCTAACTGGTACTGTCTTTGTTGCCCTGTCTTTGTGGGTTTTTCGGTAGTTTAAGAGTTGCTCAAAACACTTTCTCCATTTGCGGATTATCTCCTCGTCGTCTGTGAGCAATTGTCCTGCATCGTCTTTTATAAATCTTGGGCTGTTGGTCGTGTTGCCCTTCATTGTTTTTAGGTCCTTATAAAACTCAATATAAGGTTGAATGTTCGAATAAATGAACTTTGATGGTACACAAGGCAAATATCGAACACAGTAGTTAATCAAATCTTGCCCAAGTACTTTCGATCACAAGATCATCCTCAGGGGCATTTCGTCAGTTGTGGCTTATCCAGCAGTAATAGAATGTTATAAATGTAAATTGGGACATAACAAATACACTAAACAAAGACAAACAAACACTTTAAAATTTAAGAAATGGAGAAGCTACATTTTATATAGAAGCCTCCGGCTTCTGTCTCCGGCTTCTATATAAAATGTAGCTTCTCCATTTCTTAAATTTTAAAGTGTTTGTTTGTCTTTGTTTAGTGTATTTGTTATGTCCCAATTTACATTTATAACATTCTATTACTGCTGGATAGGCTACAACTGACGAAATGCCCCTGAGGATGATCTTGTGATCGAAAGTACTTGGGCAAGATTTGATTAACTACTGTGTTCGATATTTGCCTTGTGTACCATCAAAGTTCCTTATAAAACTGTCTAGACTGACCGGTTCTATGTTCCTCCTCCAGTTGCTGTATTCGCGCTTCTAGGTACTGTTTCTTTTTTCTTCTCAAAAGTCTTCTCGTATGAATCCTTACTCTGTTGTAGTCTTTTCTGCTCTCATCTGTAGGGCGTGTTAGTAACTCTAGCCTCTTGATTGCTTTCTGATGCAAGCTTTGTTCGCACCACTGGTCAAACCACTGGTTTTTCTTCTTGTTATCCTTTTTTTTCCTATAGTTTTCGCTGCGGCACTTTCTATGGCGTTCATTATATTTTGCCATTTCTGGTCCATGGTCAATTCTGGCGTTGATGTTTCTTCTTCTTCCAGTGTTTGCAATTTGTTTTGGATCAGTACCTGATATTGGCGTTTATTATCAGGTAAATCGAGCCTTGAAATGTCCCATCTGTTTCCTTGTTGGCGTTGCTTTGGCTGTCTCGTCTTTAGCCTTGTTCTCATTTTTGTTCTGAGCAAGAAGTGGTCAGAGTCACTTTCTTCTCCCCTCAGACTGTGTACGCTGATGATATTACAAATAACTGTAGTATTTCACCTGATATTGAATCAATGCCTGGGGATTTATTTTTCTTTAGCGATTTAATCGCATTATTGACTTCAGCGAGTAAGACAGTAGGTTGTCTAGTGTAGTCAGAGGGCCACTGATTTTCTGCTTGTAACTCGTTATTCTTATATAACTCGCCACAGTAGTTTGTTTCGCCATGTTTCCAATATTTGGTCAGTATCAGTCTTTAGATTACCTTCCTTATCTATTACAGACCACGTTTGAGATATAAATTCTCTGGTAAGGAGTTAGATCTTTTGAAATAAGTTTCTCGGTTCATTTCGCATATTTGAGAGATGTAATCAGCTTTGTCTTTGCGGCACTGTTTTCTTATTTCTTTCGATCTCTGTACTTCGATTACCTTATCTTTGAGATAGATCCAAGTGCTCTCCGGGCTCAGGAAGAAAGAGCTTCTTCTAGGTTTTCTTGGAAGTCTTAGGGGTTTTCTTTTGGGGATTTTAAACCGAAGTCGGACGTTCAATACCAGGAGTTAATCGCTTCCACAGTCTGCGCCAGGATATGTTATACAGTTGATAGCCGACGACTTCCATCTTGATCTTATTAGGATGTAGTCTATTTGATTTCTTGTGCTTGTAATTGAAAGATGTTGTTCTTCACAGAACTCCACTAGGTCGCCATTCTCATTTCTCTGTTTCACTCCATTTTTGCCCAGTTTGGCACTAATAGTTTCTTCTAGACGACCATAGAATCTGTTGATGTCTTCTTTCTGGTACCTAAACATAAAAAATACGGTAATATATGTACTTGACTGGAATAAAATTCTGATCGGAATGATTCACTGTTTCATATCCTTAATGACTCACACCGTCTACATCCACCGATTACAAATCCAACAGCTCTATAATGAAGTATTCATAGAAAATGTCAGGATCATTTATACACCGGTATTAAAAATTTGGATATATATTACAAAAAATCGGGGATGTACAGGTTCACAGCCACCTTTACTTCCAAGCCATGAAGTAAAAAATGCAACACCGCATTCTATGACGTCGGTAGTCCGATAATCAGCTGTAAGGTCTACCAGAAAATAAACTAATTTGAATTTTAGGAAACTGATATTTTGAAAACTTCAATTCATTACAGAAATATTTTTAGGGATATTAAATAATAAAACCTTATATTTACCCAATAAATATATATAAAGTTTTATTATTATTTAGGTTATATTATCAATAAAATAATCACTAGAGTAAAATTTATTGCACTTAAAATACAGTGTCAAACAGTTAATCTTACAGTCAAATGCAGTCAAGAATCTCTAGAAATTTTAAATATTAAGTACTTAAGCATATAAATAACACAGTACATTAACACGACATTTAAAAAGATTATTAAAAATACAAAAGATATAAAATTTGTTCAGTAAAAACTTAGTGTAACTATTATGATTAAAAAATTCATCCTAAGAAATCAGACACAATATAAATATGGTTCTAAATTAATCTAACTGAAAATTAAATATTTTACTATTTACTTATAACTTTTGTTGAATTTTCATACTTAGGTATACGAAAGTAGCAATTTTAAATATGAATAGGTTTTTTGTCATATAGACCAAGTTAAGAGAGGTATACATGAAAAATATGTTGAATGTAACATACCATTTATAACTTGTATATCGATTTAAAATAGCCTATATTCTCAAAAGATTTTTGAATGTAATACTCAAATATGTTATCACTTATTTAAAAAGCAGATCTAAATGAGAAAGTAAGTTCCCTAATTGTGACCATCTTGTTAATTTACTATATTGTAAAATCTATTTCAAATCATTACTACTTAATCTATTCTTACCTACATTGACGACTACACTAAAATTACTGCTAACTATTACACTATATATTACACAAATATTATCACACTTGAGTCCCAACTGATTAATGTTTAATACATAGAAATATACACAGTCACTTGTAATTTTACTTGTCCAGTTTTTCATTTTTTTTCATTTCATTTCTTATGCAAAAAGTTCCTTCTGTCTTCGGGATTCCTTCTTTCTTTAGTACGATGAACAGTTACATATGATGGTACTTCAGGAAATATATTAGGAACTGCATTGCCTTTTAATTTGGAAAATATTAACTTTTCAATGTGTACATTTCCATCTTTATCTTCTCATTGTTCAGTCCGCTTAATATCATCTTCATGAAAATGTTTGGCACATACTACGAAAGATTTGGTAATTGTATAGCCTTCTCTATGAATAGAGCATAACCCAGTATACCTTCTTTGGGGACCTTTGGGAAACGAAAACGTACTTTCTGCCTGTTTCGTTTTTGAAGTACTGGCATAATTAGTTTTGCAACCAGGTACACAACAATGCCAGAGTATCTGTAACAAAAAACAAAAGTATTATTATTGTTTACATATTTTGTAACAAGAAGCAAAAGTATTATTATTTTCAGTTTGTTTTGTAGGTAATATTTATACTTGCCTTTTAAATTGTCGTTAAGAATCTTCTAAAAGTTCTAAATTTAATGAAATTTCACTTATATTAATATTTTCTAATTGATTTAAACACAATTTACAAATAAAACATTCGAATAAAGTTAAAAAAACAATAAATTCAACAAACTTTACAAGCCTTCCTATATGAAATCTTAAACAAAACAAACCCACGGTCGGACTACCACGCGTTGTTGCCAAATTTCTACTTCATGGCTTGGAAGTAAAGGTGGCTGTGACAGGTTACATAAACAAAAACAATATCTTTTTTGTATATAGTAAATTTTTATTATATTTGATTGAGTGTATCTCAAATGCATTAGATAATTTTATACTAGCAAACACCTCTTTCCTTAAGAAAATTGTTAAAAACAAGAAACCCTGTGATTGCAATTAATTATGAATAATACTCCTCGCCGTTTTTTTGTTAGTGCAATGAGTGTATATTATTAATTTTCGCACTGAGGTTTTTAAATTATTGAATTTTAGCAAGCACTAGGGAAATTTATAGATTTAAATTTATTTGCATTATTAAATTATTTCAATTATTTTCAGCTTTTTTTTGTCAAATTTTTTGCAGATTTAACTTTATTGTGTATTTATTAAAATAATTTTATATATTAATTTTGTATGTTTTATTTTCTTAATACCACATTAAAAATCACGAATACATTATTTAAGTTTGACAGACAAGAGAATTGACTTCCTAATCGAAGCATCTATAACTTTTGATAAAAGCACAACGTACATTTTAGAAGTTTTAATGCATCGAACAACATTTTTAATTTCCTAATTATAGAAAATATTTTATACCGTAATGAAAACTATTGATTAAACAGATTAATAATAAATTTTAAAACGCATATAATATGTAATATTAAGGCTGTTTTCGCAGTTACAGCATACTGCAATTTGAAGTGGGCGTATCACTTAATTTTCTACACTGCTTATGTCAGACCCTACGTGACTTCCTAATTTAAAATCTGTAGTTTGGATGTTTATTCAGTGGCGCCGGCCCACGGGTTGTTTAATGACAATAAATGCATTATGCTCCATTCAAATTAGTTTTGTCGGAATACTTTTTTTTAGATTAATTATCGTAGATAATGTTTTAAAAAGAATTAATCACATTTTTAATTTATATGTCTTAGCTAAACATAGTATTAAATAAAAATTTGTGAAACGTGACTGCAAAAAACACCATGGTGTTTATTTATAATAAATTTAAAATAACAAGAATATTATTATCAAAAAAATTACAATTTGTTGTCACAAACAA